TGCGCTCATTTAATCGTCGGCGAGATAACCGCAGGAGCGCCCGTTCAACTCGGGCCCGAGCCATTCTGTTCCGACAAGACAGTGCTTTTATAGTCTACTTATTGCGAAGTCTGACAGGACGGCGTAAGATAAGGGAGCGATACAGGGATATAAGGCTCGGTGGTGGATGGTCCACGCCTGCGCTCATTATTTCATGACGTCCGCGACTACTTAACTGCAAGGGTGCCCGTTCGACTCGGGCCGTTTTATTCCGAAGGCTAGGGATATGGACAATAAAATGTGGAAGTGAGGGAGGGTTAACAAGGCTCGGTGGTGGACGGTCCACGTCTGCTCTCCGTCCACATGTTCTCGTTTGATCGCAGGGGTGTCCGTTCGACTCCGGCCCCAGCCATTGACGCAGAATGTCCTTTTTTCATTCGCCCGCGCATAAGTAGTTACTGAGTATACTCGGGGAAGTGGACGTGCAAATGAGGGGTAACAAGGCTCGGTGGTGGACGGTCCACACCTGCGACTCGTGTTGTCTGTATGCAGGTCTTTCCACTTGCAGGACGGCCTGTTCGACTCAGGCCCGAGCCATTCAGAAATCTCGGCAATTTTCTTTTGGCTTCCGCGATGTATGCGGAGGACGAGTCCATATAACTCGCATCCAAAACCCCAAGCGCAGCTCGCAATGCGTTTTCGGAACGGTGCAATCCAACGTACGAATAAATTCGAAAGATACAAGATACAAATACAAGCGTACGATGGACTGCTTGAGGAGGCGACTACCGTCCGCCGGAAGGAGTCGAAGTAGTGTAGGTCATCGCCGGAAAATATAGCACAAGGTCGTCTTTTTTCGTCGCGGGCAAGTGCCTAGGACTAGGACGCGGCCGGCGGCGGGCGGAAGCTGCCGTTAAAATCCGCCGAGTTGGACTGCGGGATGTCAGCAGAAGGTGGAGACAGGAAGACAGGGAGACGCACGGAAATGTGGGCCCGCGGCGGTGGGCCCGGGTGCTGCGCACGCAAGTGTTAGCAAGCCCCTCACGTGCAGAATGGGTGGTGCGTACCGGTGAATACGCCGCCTCAATGCCTCGCGGCGGGCCCGGGGGCTGCATCATCAACGCTACTCGTCAGACCCTCGAGACAGCGTCACGGTGCACCATGGGACACGGACGCACCGGAGCATACTGCGCGCCAGAGTCCTTGACGTACGGCGGGGGGGCAAACTCGGCGGCGCCGACGGGCGGGTACTCCGAGTCGCTCGTGCCGGTGGGGTAGGGATACTGCGCGGGGGGCGGGCGGGGCGAGCCGTACTGCATGCCGTGCGGAAAGCCGCTGCCCGCGTGCAGCGGGAGCGGCGGCGCGATGTAAGGCTCGGCGTGCTGCACGCGGCGGTTCTGGATGCCGCAGCAGAGGCTGAAGAGGAGTAAGACGCACATGACTAATGGACCTCTCAGGTGGATCCTTTTGTATTAAAAATCCACCTGAGGTCCGAAGAGGCGGTGCGGGAGGCGAGGTGCTTCTATTATGTTATCTAATCCTTTTAGGGTCAAATGTCAATGATCGCCGCGTGAGCTCCCGGCATCTTCCTCCATCTTCCCACCCCTCCATGTAAGCTGCAGGCTTCCATCGCCTCCTCTAGCCATTCATCCGACAGGATCCCTCTCCTGTGCTGTAGCCTGCACATAGTCTTCATAAATGATATATTTGGTATTGCATATCTGTTGAATATATATGGTGGTCTCATTGGAATTACTGCTGCACAGGATGCTGGCATCAATATCGGTGCACTGTAGAATTGATTCCAGTTTACCTCCTAGCTGAAAAAAATCATGGGAAGCATTGGACTAGAACACAGAGCAGAGAAACATGTTCCACATTGTGATTAAGCCAAATGGGCGCCTCCGACCCACCGTTCAGCCTGCTGAATTTGGTTGCTAGATTCGAGCGAGTATAAATTCAGTAACATTTTGAATGACAGTCCTCAGACGATTGGAAAACAACATATAAACATTGAGCCTTCGGCAGTGCCTCCGACGCCTACGTTCTGGGCACATCAGGTGTAGATTCTCAATTTGTTTAAGGGAAAGGGGCTCTCGATGGTCATTCTGTATTCTGGGTGTCCTATTTATTATGGTAAGCTAGTGCACATATTTCGATTCTTTGTCGTGTCTCGTCCCTCTGGAATTCAATAACCACTGTCAGGAGCAATAATTGATGCATTATCTGCAAACAATACACGGGAAGAAGCCCTCCAGCCTTTTGTTATTGAGATTAAATTTGGCCTTTAAAGGAGGCTCCTTGTCGAAGAGACACGTCGTATGGGTGTCGGAAGCTCCGGCGGCTCCTCAGCACCTTCCAACATACCCAAGTATTCTGATAAAGACTCATTGGTTCCAATAATGATTTTGAATACTCAAGTGGGGTCCTCGATGTCTAGAAAAGGTGTGCAAAACATCATATCTTATCATCGGAACAGTCGGAGAAGGCTCGGGCCGGAGATTGATGGGCCAATCAGATCACGAATAACGATGAGTGAAATGTAAAACATTGACTATAAGGTCAGTTTCACAAGGAATATCACGGGTATGGAATTTCTAAATCGAGAACATGCGCGGAAAAAAATTGCTGTTCTCATTAGTTTCAGGATCGACTGTAATGCCAACGCTCACCCTTGCGCTCATCACTTAACTGCAGGGTGCCCGTTCGACTCGGGCCCAAGCCATTGATCGGCACAGTGTTTTATGCCGAGGCCGCTGGACATATCCAAAATGCGGAAGTGAGGGAGGACTAACAAGTGTAATCCCTTGTCAAATTTCTCAGTCAAGTTCTGAAGCATTAACAGGGAGAAAGAGGGCTTTTATCACAGCAGTAGAGGGTCTTCGACGTGTTGAACGCGTCGATCCACGAACTAACGCGTGAGGATGTACCCAGAGAAAGAGTGATGCCGGATTGACGCCGGAGTTGCCCGTTTTATCATGGTTGCCGGCACACTAATCTTGATAATGACTTAGATGGATCGTGGATGGATCATGGATTCAATTGGATTGGACGCGCTACGGAGAAACCCGGCGACCGTTTCCTGACCGTCGACGGCCGCTGTTTCGCCGGCCGTCATCCCCGTCCCGTCGCCGTCCCGTAGAAAAAAAGATTCAACCCCCGACGGAACGGGACGGATACCCATAGGACTGTCGCGACGGGTGCGGTGAATAGACCTAGACCTCGCCCGGAGCGACTAAATCACGAAATCAGGGAAAGTAGGCCCCTCGTCCTGGCCCCCTCGGGCCTGCCTCTTTGGGAAGCCTCGGCCATCACGGCCATCAATCCCTCCACTTTCCAAATCGCACCTGGGCCTCATTCGTCCCTTCGTCCGCTATTCTCGGATCTGCAGCTGTACGCCACTCTCTTCCCACCGGCATCGCTCATCGTAACTCCACTACATCTCTACTATCTGTGTCCGTACGCATCATGGCGGATCGCATGGCAGCCGCTCTTGAGATTCTCAAAGCTATGAGCACGGTACTTCGAATCCCGCTGCCCTTTACGGCAGATTGGGACACCGTCAAACTCCAGATACAAAGCCTCAACTCCGCAGCAATTATCGTAAGTGATCTGGCCAGGATAGCAATACATCTTTACCCGACTCCTCCAGGCGACTTTCCTTGCGGCAGTCCAATCTCAGATCATCGCCATTTCATACCAAGACAACTCGACCAGAGTCAAAGTCGCGACCAACGTGTTGGGATTTGCAGGTGTGCTCTTGGACGTGATCGCGGCATGCTTCTCCCTGCTGGCGTCGGCCGTCCTCCAGCGGAATATAACTATCATCGAAAGCTACCTGGGTGCCGTCGAAGATGCGTCGTTGCAACATACTACGGAGATACAGAACGCCTTCGACGCCTTGCCCCAGTTCATGGTGCCCTCTGATCTCCGTCAGCGTGTGCGCCACCGCTTGGACGAACTCCAGAATCAACCTGCACCTGCAGATGCTGGTGCTTCTACTCGCCCACGACGGCTCGTGCGGCTCCTAAATCGAAATACGGTCTCCCTCGCCGTATCCTTCTCGGCCATCTACGGCGTCTCGTCCATGGGCGATGCAGCCGGGACTGCCATGCTCTTGGGAATCGTCAGCTTCTTCGCGTCTGTCCTATGCCTGGCGATTTCGACCCAGCCGCAAGTCGTCTGGATCGTATCCGCCGTGGTCTGCTTGTATGGTGTTTCACTTCCCCTCCAAAACTTGGTGTTGGCGGTCTTTATGCAGTGTGAGTGAACCGTGAATGATTTTACCGGCGACTTACAGGTTATGTAGTATTTCACGGCATCATTTTGAATTGGCTCCATGGCATCATATACGGGACAACTTCGTCTAGTCACGAACTTGCTACGCCTGCCCGAGGACAAGCGACATCCATCAGTCGAGTTTGAGTTTCCTCATTTAGGAAGGTGCTGCTGAGCTTGCTGCTGATTCCTACCCCATCGTCCTTCCTTCACGGCGCCATGGCTGCGAACCGCGAAAAGGTGGTCTTTGACACCTACTCGACTTCCAACCCTAAATACAGTACTAACCCGAGCTTCCGAATGGATGTATCACCGTAGAATCCTGGTATGGTGACTCCGTCGTGTATCACTGCGATATGATTAATAACGAAAGAGAGAAGGAGGTGTATAGCGGCTCGGTGGTGGAGGGTCCTAGCCTGCAGATCATTTCCTTGCAGGATGAACTCTTGCGTCAACTCGGGCCAAGTCATTTCAATTTGGGACATCGATATCTTTTTTTTCTTGGACGAACCACGTCAACGAGCAAGCAAAATCTCGGATAAATGGACGTATACACGACGGTTAACAAGGCTCAGTGGTGGACGGTCCACGCCTGCGCTCAATAAAGGAGCCCCAAAGGAAATTAATTGCAGCAGGAGCCGCCCGTTCAACTCGGGCTGAGCCATTAGGCGGAGAACTCAGTCGTTTTAGTCTTGCCAAGACTGTAGGACGGCGTAAGATGAGGGAGCGACACAGGGATATAAGGCTCGGTGGTGGATGGTCCACGCCTGTGTTCATCAATCCATGACGTCCGCGACTACTTAACCGCAGGGGTGCCCGTTCGACTCGGGCCCGAGCCATTGGCCGGTACAGTGTTTTGTTCCGGAGGCTGCTGGACATATCCAATAAAATGCGGAGGTGAGGGAGGGCTAACAAGGCTCGGTGGACGGTCCACACCTGTGCTCCCTTAGAGAAACCATTCGAACTCCTGCAGGAACGCCCGTTCGACTCGGGCCCGAGTCATTCTTTGTGGGCTGCCGTTTTTTTTTCGTCCATGTACTTGGACGATGACTGCTTACAACGGTGCTCGACAAGTCCCAGATGAAAGTCGCAATACAGCAAGTCGAGACGTGAACTGCGTAGTCGCCTTGGAACAGCGCTGCCCAACAGCCTGCGTCGAAGTACGGAACCGCGATTAAACCAAGTGGCTCAATATTCTCGATACACGACGCACGAATTCGGGCCGTCGTTGCTTGTCGAGCATCGAGTCAGTGTGTCGAAAACCAGGGACTTCAAACGATTCCAATGGTTCCAACCCAATAGATCCAAAGATACAAGATACAAATACAAACATACGCTGGGCTGCGTGAGGAGCCTACAGTCCGCCGGAAAAAGTAGCGCCGAAAGATATAGCATAAGGTGGTTTTTTTTGGCGTCGGTCAAGCGTGGCGTGGTCAGGAATGCGGCTAGGACGCGGGCGGCGGACGGAAGCCGCCGTTAAAGTCCGCTGAGTTGGTCTGTGTCATCGTGCGAAGTGTCAGCGGAAGGGGAGATGGGAAGGAGAGGTGGAGACATACGGAGATATGCGCCCGCGGGGGTGGGCCTGGGGGCTGCGCACGTAAGTGTTAGCAAGCGCCTCACGTGCAGGATGAGTGGTGCGTACCGATGAATACGCCGCCTCGATGCCCGGCGGTGGGCCTGCGGGCTGCATGCCCGGCGGCGGGCCCGGCGGCTGTACCAAGACAAGAAAAAACCTACTTGTCAGCACAGCGTGAATGATGCGATGACAGACGCACCGGAGCATACTGCACGCCAGAATCCTTAACGTACGGCGGGGGCGCAAACTCGGCAGCGCCAGCGGGCGGGTACTCGCTGGCGCCGGTGGGGTAGGGATACTGCACGGGGGGCGGGCGGGGCGAGCCGTACTGCATGCCGTGCGGGAAGCCGCTGCCCGTGTGCAGCGGGAGCGGCGGCGCGACGTAAGGCTTGGCACGCTGCACGCGGCGGCGCTGGATGCCGCAGCAGAGGATGAAGAGGAGTACGGCGGCTGCAACGAATAGGATAATGAAGGAAAATAAAGAAAAATGAAGAAAGAGAGAAGGAGAAGCGATCAGTTTAGCTCGCACACGAGGATACGGAGTGGCATACCGACGACAAAGCCGATGCCGGCGGCGGTGGGCGAGACGCGGCGGCGGTTCTGGTCGTCCTGGCTCTGCGCCGCGGTGAGGCGGGCCCCGGCGACGAGGGCGGCGGTGAGGTAGAGCTGGGGGCGTCGTTGGCGCATGGGGGGCGGAAAGCAGGAGGTAGTAGTCACGTATCGTCACACACGCAGATCCAATTGTGGAGCGTGACGCGGGGTGTTATCTTATCGGTGGCGGTGCGGCGCTTATCACTCTAGTGACTCTACAGCTTACAGCCAACTCAGAGCTTGCACAGATGCCTTTCACCGGAATGAGCTGTGGAATTGAATCCTGTAACTGGCCTCGTTTCTGCCCTAATCCTCGTGGGATCCACGCTTCCGGGCTGCTCCGGAACACGTCCGCACAGTAGACACCGCCCTTGCTGCGGAGGCGTCGCTCCCTCGCTACTTTTCCACCCGTTTATGCCCGTTTCTACGCGGACTCCACCCCACCCATCTCCGGCACCTGAATCGTCTCCACGGCTGCACAATTGGCGTCCTCCCCGTTGTCTTGTTGTTATTGTTATCCTCACGCACGGGCCTTTCCGCTCCCACTGCAAGGCTATTTATATCTCGGATCTATTGCTGGACGACTCGCAGGCTCCATTAACGCCACTGGTGACTGGTCCTACTATTGGTGCCGCGACGCCACGGGAGCTAAGTCTGAATGAAGGGAGTAATGCACGCTGACTACCAAACGTCCCGCGCCCAGACGGGGGGTTTCGTGCTTCTGTCTCTCTGTCTGCTATCAGCTCCGCTCAAAAATAAAGCGGACGGCGCGCCGTCGACGTCCCCCCGCCCCCCGTATTGCCCTCCCCCCGCAGTCAAAAATAATACATAAACAACACTTCAAAAATAAACATTCGATCCATGGCTCAGCCCTGAGTCGAACGGGGGTCCTGCAGATGATCCCTGGAGGCGGTATAGAGCGCAGGCGTGGACCGTCCACTACCGAGCCGGTATATACCTCCTCCATGCCTTGGACTTGTAGTAAATATCCTCCCATCGTTCTGAAACGAAACTAAAAGTGAAAAAGAAGGAGAACTGTGGATAATGGCTCAGCCCCGAGTCGAACGGGCATTCCTGCAGTTTCAAAACGAAGGGTGTGCGCATAAAGCGCGGACGTGGACCGACCACTACCGAGCTTTATTCCCCTCGTGCCCTGCGCTTGTGGTATCCTTCCAGCCTTGAAACGAAACGAAACCAAAAAAAGATTAGGGAGCAGCGACAAATGGCTCGGTCCCGGGTCGAACGGGCAGTCCTGCGGTTATTTCCCAGAGCGGCACAGCGGCTTGTCCGTGGAGCGCAAATGTGGGCCACCCATCACCGAGCCGGTACATCTCTTTTTCGTTCCCTGCGCTTATGATTGGGGTATCCTCCCAGGGACAGGAAATGAATCTAAAAAAGGCATTTTATTCAAGACAGACAATGGCTCGGCGCAGAGTCAAATGGGCACTCCTACAGGCCCTCTGTGCAGTGAGGCATAGAGCGCAGGCGTGGACCGTCCACCACCGAGCGTCCACTACCGAGCCGGTACATGACTCCTCTGCTCCTTAATTTTTCGACAGGCAATAAAGCTCGCACCTCCCGGGGTTCGAGCTCAGATTCTTTTTTTCCTAAGTAAAAAGATTCATCGAGCACGGATGCCTCGGGCCCGAGTCGAACGGGCATTCCTGCAGACCATTGTGGAGCGAAATCTCATAGAGCGCAGGTGTGGACCGTCCACCACCGAGCCGATATTTCCCTCCCTCGTTCCCTGACCTCATGGTGCATATTTCCCAGCGACAGGAAATGAATCTAAAACACATTTTATTTAAGCCAGACAATGGCTCAGCGCTCAGCGCTCAGTCCCGAGTCAAACGGGCAGTCCCGCACATGATCAAATCATCAGCAAATTAATCTCATCGAGCGCAGGCGTGGACGGTGCACCACCGAGCCTCTATCTCGCACCCTGGGTTTGTCATATATCCTTCCAGCGGCAAGAAAATGGAAAAAGAGAAAAATCCATTGCGCAAGAGTTATGGCTCCATCCCCGAGTCGAACGGGCAGTCCTGCGGTTAATAGAAAGCGGCACCCGTCCATGGAGCGCAGGCGTGGACGGCGCGAATAAACGAGAAACGCATAGAACACAAGTGTGGACCTTCCATCATCGAGCCGGTATATCCCTGTCTCGTTCCCTGCGCTTGTAGCATCTTCCTACCGTTCCCAGGCAAGAAAAAGACAGACTTTATCTAATGGCTCTACCGACGTCGGGTCGGAACAAACCGGCAAATCAGCATCGTGTTCTCCGCCGCGCAGGCCGGAGGTAAATCCGCTCCCATGGTCGACAATGATTCAATCTGCGTCGACGCCACTTGGGAGCATTCTCACCTTGCGCATCCGACCTAAATCAACCCCAGTCCACATTACTTTTGCGATGCAATCCAGCAAATCATGGCAACGAACTTTAAATCCCGGACATCTGTGTGAACGCTGATCTTCTCTTTGATACAATGTGCATCCTCTGTACCTCGAAGAGAATTTGCCAGCTCTCCGATATTTGACTATATGGTCGCAACTCCTTTGTGCTGGGAATTACTGAGGGGCTGAAGCTATAGGTTCAGGGCTACTGTCTTCAAGACCAAAACTGACGACATCCCGCTGATCAGAGACTGTGATACTAGACTCGAATCAGTCGTGATTCAGCGGATTGATGATAGTCGATCAATAGAGTAGTTGAACAACGACTGGAACCGTTTAACCGTGATCTGACACACTCGGAAGTTACCGAGTGATTTAATTGACTTCATCAAAATTCTCGTGAAAGCCAGAATATAATTTTAGATTCTCTCAACTCTGAGGGGACAGTTTTGTAGCGCTCAGAATTATAAGGCTCCTCATGTTCTCAGAATTTTAAAAGCTAAAGCCCTCACCACGCTAGATCACTTTTACTCTCGACATCGCGTACTTAGGTAATAGGGGCTCATCCGCCATACCTCTCGGTCTGCCCGCCAGCTCCCCACCAGCGCCGAAAATTTGAGAAGGCTTCAGAGGAGCTCGGTGCGAATGAAGCGCAGGGATGTGGAACACCACACAGAGTGTTTGCTCTGCGAGCTTGAGCCCAGCGTCGCGAAGGCATGATCTAGCCCCTATATCTGAGTCGGATGAAAGATCAATTCACTGAGGGGTCAAACCTTTGTGTATTAAAAATCTGAGACATCAAGAGTCTTAGCGTTTTGAGGGCTACAAAACCGTCTCTTCAGATCTACGAGAATCTAAAATTATGTTCTGGCTTTCACGAGAATTTTGTCGAAGTCCATTAAATCACTCGGTAACTTCCGAGTGTGTCAGATCACGGTTAAACGGTTCCAGTCCCTCCGGCGGAGTGATTGACTGTCATCAAACTGCCCTTGGGAACTGGTTCGAGTCTACTGTGATGTGCTGACGGCATATCTGAGAGCGCGAGCTGATACAATAAATACCAGGCTAGCGACTCCGAGGACCGTAAGACTAGTGTGATGCGAGTGGGTTAATCCATGCTCAGTGCTCGACTGGCAGGAAACGGTGGGAGATGGATGGAGAAGGGGATATGAGGAGTTCGCACCGCCGGAACGACGAGCGGAGATGGGGACGATAAAGATAAATAGAGCGATGAGCGAGACGTCAACGGCGAGAGACGAGACGAGAGCGTAGATGGAGGCA